TTTTTTTTCTGAATTTAATGCTTTCTTTGCATTCGCGAACTATTGAGTATTGAATTGTAAGCATACAGTAAGCGGAAGTTGGCTGTTTCCAAGGACTTTCAATCTCAAGGATTTTTGCTTTTTTAGTTTTCATGCTGCTTGAAAAGACCAATCACAACCTTTTTTTGCTCAAAGTTAAAACACTAAAATCCTATTGCAACGTAATACTTTTCATTTTTTCCTCCAAAAGTTTTAGAGTGGTCTTTTTTGCATATCTTTAGAAATATAGAACAATGGCATTTTGTTTTAGCAAGTGATAATTTGAAAAAGACAGTCTGTAGATATTTATGTTTCAGTTTCTCTAACAAAAGTGAAGAAGAAGACGCGCGAGACGAAAGAAGCGCTTATCAAAGAGGTGCTTTGAGTTAATTGGGTTACTGAGAAGTTAACGAGTAGTTGTCTTCTTATAGGTTCGAGCATCTGTCGATAAATACAAGCATTTATTTGTTTTTAATATTGAGGATATGAGGAGTACGCATTTCATACAGGTGATTGCTTGAGTTTTTAGAATGAGCTTTCCATTTTAAGATAATTTGCAAATCCTGTTTGTCATAGGTTCGGCAACGATTCAAGGCAAACAGCCGATTTTTCTTTGGTAAAAATAATGTTATGGCCGTTGCACTAGGTAAAAATGCATCTTCTGAATATGCGCCACAACTTCACTTGGTGAGTCATTCTACCAGTAATCATTTTTGTGGGGAGTAATTGTCAATTCAGGTAAGTCAAATCTTACAAGGTCAGTGTGGACTTATGTTTACTCTATTATCGAAGGCCAAGGTGATGAGGTAAGCAGCTCATGAGAAACCCTTCAGCATTTGTCTTGCGATGTAAACTTTACATATTCCATACTACTCTTTTCCAGCGCGTTAAAGGAGTTGACTTTTGCCGATTACGCTAGAGCTGGCCATATTGCCCGTGAGACGATCACTATACCAGAAGGTCCACTTCCACAGTTTGCCTTTTCAATGGAACCACAGCTGCGGAAACTTGGCCTGCCTACGAAGCTTGAAAAAGGTAGTGGTTTGAGTTGCATTCTTGAAAAATAAGTAGCAGCATCTTCTACTTCAACCCTTTAAAAGTCTTCCTTCAAAAATGAAATGATCATCTTTCGACCAGTTACCTGCGATTTCTAAATGTTGTCTTCCTGCAAGCCATCCGTAAATCTCCTCTCTTTCAGGTACCATTACGCTATATCAGGACTACGAGATCTGCAAAAAGGGAGAGCCAATAACAGCGGAACAAGCTAAGGTTACTTCATTTGTATTACAAAGATGAATTTCGCTATAGATCGCTAAATCTTTGTTATGATAAAAATTTCTAATGTAATAGTTTGGTTCAGATCCTCAAGCTATTTGACTACAAACTGGCTGAATTCAAAATGCACATAGTCTCGCAGTGGGATAAAGAAGACGGTTATGTTAACTTAGAAAAATCCGAAAAGGCATGATTTTTATGTTCAAAGTGTATGTTAAATTGATTCTTTTGCCATTGTTGTTTTTTGTGAGTTGTTACATTGTTACTTTTATCAGTTGTTGTGATAAATGTTTTGTTGTTCTATAGAAAAAATAACAAAATTTTCATGTTACCTACTCAGAAGCGAAGGAAACTGAAAACATGACACCTTTTGGTTACCACTGTTTCCTTACTGAAGCTTAAAATATGTTATAGTATCTTAATAATGCTTCACAATACATATTCTCCCCGTGCTATCGTCTCATCGTGGCGCGGGGGTAAATCTAGGTTTCGAACTGCGAAGTACAGCGGAGGTTTATCCTCCAGCAGGGTCTCCCAAACTGAGAAGGAGTTCGACGTT